AGCAATTAGCGCATTACCACTAATAAACCTTCCTCTGAGGCGCCACTTTCCGTACAGCGCGGGGATCCATTCATCACACCCCTAATCCGCTCTCTGGCAGCCCGACCCAGGAACACACTGCATGTATTGACCGCGCCTGCTCCAGCCTTTATCCCTGACACCCCATCTACCCCTTCCTTCAATGAGAGTTCATTCCAGCTTTGTGCCACTGATAGGAACTGCCATCGCTTAATGAAAATAAATCAGATTGGAACAAAGAAGAAGAGCTATCGCCCATTCCGTACAATCGATAGCCCCCCGTCTGTAAGACATGGACGCTCTTCTAGTTCATAAATCAAAGTGAAAATGCTGAAGAAGTGCGAAATAATGAAAGAAATGTAACCAATTGACTTAATATAGAGCTGAGATACAAAAAAAAAAAAATGAATATATATATAATATATATATATATATATATACACACACACACAGATACATATATATATATATATATATATATATATATATATATATGTATGTAACCGATTGACTTAATATAGAGCTGTGATACAAAAAAAAATGATAAAAAAATATATATATATACACACACACACACGCACACACATATATATATGTAACCGATTGACTTACTATAGAGCTGAGATACAAAAAAAAAAAAAAAAAATTATAATATATATATATATATATATATATATATATACACATACATACTGTATATATACAGTTGTGTTCAAAATAATAGCAGTCAGACATCACTAACCGGATCAATCACTGTTTTTGGTAGAAATGATATTTCTACATTGCAAATAATTTACTAGCAGGTGTAGTAGAGTAATAGAAATCCAACAGACCCAACAGTCATGACATGCATGCTGCTGATTCTGTGTCATGGAATCACTAATTGAAAGGGGCATGTTCAAAATAATAGCAGTGTGGAGTTCTATTAGTGAGGTCATTCATTCTTTGAAAAACAGGTGGCAATTATTGCCCTTATTTAAGGAAGGAAGGCAGCAAATGTTGTACATGCTGGTTACAGTGCATTTCTCTCTGAAATTCTGAGGAAAATGGGTCGTTCCAGACATTGTTCAGAAGAACAGCGTACCTTGATTAAAAAGTTGATTGGAGAGGGGAAAACATATAAAGAAGTGCAGAAAATGATAGGCCGCTCAGCTAAAATGATCGCAAATGCTTTAAAATGGCAACCAAAACCTGAAAGACGTGGAAGAAAGCGAAAAACTACCATTCGAATGGATAGAAGAATAGCCAAAATGGAGCGGACTCAGCCAACAATCAGCTCCAGGAAGATGAAAGAAGGTGTAAAGTTCCCTGTGAGGACTGTTACAATTACAGTTGTGACCAAAATTATTCAACCCCCAATGCTGTAAAGGGGTTTAGGGACTATAGTGTACATTTGGAATTGTATTCAGAATCAAATCCTACAAGGACGTTGTAACTACCCAAATGCAACTAAAATGACATCAATTGTTTATGTAATACAGTAGTAAATGGTTCTTATGTGGTTTCTTCATTGCCACAATTATTCAACCCCTTAAAGACTACCACTCTGAAGAACAGAGGTTCATACAGGTGCTTTCCATCAGGTATTGAAAACACCTGTGGATGTCACCGAGCAGCAATCAAGCATAATAAGCACCAATTAGGCAGCTTTAAAATGACTGTGATACTCAGCTCCTTCTAGACATTTACTGGTGTGGTTACAAACATGGTGAAGGCAAGAGAATGGTCCAGGAAGACAAGAGAAGAGGTGATTTCTCTTCACAGGAAGGGCAATGGCTATAAGAAGATTGCAAAGATGTTAAACATACCAAGAGACACCTTAGGAAGCATCATTCGCAAATTCAAGGCAAAGGGCACTGTTGAAACGCTACCTGGTCGTGGCAGAAAGAAGATGCTGACTTCGACTGCTGTGCGCTACCTGAAGCGTAGAGTGGAGAGAAGTCCCCGTGTGACTGCTGAGGAACTGAGAAAAGATTTGTCAGATGTGGGTACAGAAGTTTCAGCCCAGACAATAAGACGCACACTGCGTAATGAAGGCCTCCGTGCCAGAACTCCCAGGCGTACCCCCTTGCTGTCTCCAAAGAATAAGAAGAGTCGACTGCAGTATGCCAAAAGCCATGTGGACAAACCACAAAAGTTGTGGGATAGTGTTCTGTGGACTGATGAAACAAAATTAGAACTGTTTGGGCCCATGGATCAACGCTATGTTTGGAGGAGGAAGAACAAGGCCTATGATGAAAAGAACACCTTGCCTACTGTGAAGCATGGTGGAGGGTCAATCATGCTTTGGGGCTGTTTTGCTTCTGCAGGTACAGGGAAGCTTCAGCGTGTGCAAGGTACCATGAATTCTCTTCAGTACCAGGAGATATTGGATGGAAACGTGATGCAGTCCGTCACACACCTGAGGCTTGGGAGACGTTGGACCTTTCAACAGGACAATGATCCCAAGCATACCTCCAAGTCCACTAGAGCATGGTTGCAGAGGAAAGGCTGGAACATTTTGGAGTGGCCATCGCAGTCACCAGACTTAAATCCGATTGAGAACCTCTGGTGGGACTTAAAGAAAGCAGTTGCAGTGCGCAAGCCTAAGAATGTGACTGAACTGGAGGCCTTTGCCCATGAAGAATGGGCGAAGATACCCGTAGATCGCTGCAAGACACTTGTGTCAAGCTATGCTTCACGTTTAAAAGCTGTTATAACTGTAAAAGGATGCTGTACTAAGTACTAAGATTGAATGTCACTTGGGGGTTGAATAAAACTGATAATGCTGTGAGCACAGAAAAGACATTTGTGGTTATTTCATTATAACTGTTATGTTATATTTGTCTGACCTACAAGTGCCTCTTTAATGTAAATGTAAGCAAGATGACTGAATGATCAAAAGCAATGTCAAACTGGCCAAAACACTCAATTTCAGTGGGGGTTGAATAATTTTGGTCACAACTGTATGTGAAGCCAAACTATCTGCAAGAAGCCCCCCGCAAAGTCCCACTGTTGGGAAAAAGACGTGTGCTGAAGAGGTTACAATTTGCCAAAGAGCACATTGACTGGCCTAAAGAGAAATGGCGCAACATTTTGTGGACTGATGAAAGTAAGATTGTTCTTTTTGGGTCTAGTGGGCGGAGACAGTTTGTCAGACGACCCCCAAACACTGACTTGAATCCCATCAAAAATCTGTGGTCAAGATTGAAAAGCATGGTATTGAGCAAAAATCCAAGCAACAAGCGAGGACACATTGAGGCTTGTTGCTTGGATTCTTGCTCAAGACCATGTAATAATCAATTCCTGGCATCATATGGTACATTTCCAGCCAAAATTGAACTTATATAAAGATTTTTTTTTTAAGGCATTAATTTTCTATATTAAATTTTACTTGTGCTATGACATTTTTAGAGATTTTTATATAAAAACTACTGTAAACTGCAAAAGTTTATAAAAATGTAAGGTGTATCCACAATTTTGGCCACACGTGTATGTAACCGATTGACTTAATATAGAGCTGAGATACAAAAAAAATATATATATATATTATTATTATTATACAGGATTTATATAGCGCCAACAGTTTGCTCAGCGCTTTACAATATAACGGGAGACAATACAGCAACAATAAAGTTCAATACAAGAGGGATAGGAGGCCCTGCTTCTTGGAGCTTACAATCTAGGAGGGAGGGACTGGTGGTACAAAAGGTAGTAACTGTGAGGGATGGACTGGTTGGAAGAGTAGAAGATTCCATTGTTAGCTGAGGGCAGGATAAGCTTCCCTGAAGAGGTTTTCAGAGATCACCTAAAAGTGAGCAGAGTAGGCGTTAGTATGATAAATTGGGGTAGAGAGTTCCAGAGGATGGGGGAAGCTCTGGAAAAGTCCTGGAGACAAGCAAGGGAGCTAGAGAGTAGGAGGTCTTGCGAGGAGCGGAGAGTATGGTTTGGGTAATATTTGGAGACAAGATTGGTGATGTAATTTGGGGCAGAGTTATAAATGGCTTTATACGTTATTGTTAATGTTTTGAATTTTATCTGTTGGGCAATGGGAAGCCAGTGGAGGGATTGGCAGAGAGGGGTGGAGGACACTGAATGGAGACCAGTGGAGGGATTGGCAGAGAGGAGTGGAGGACACTGAATGGAGACCAGTGGAGGGATTGGCAGAGAGGGGTGGAGGACACTGAATGGAGACCAGTGGAGGGATTGGCAGAGAGGGATGGCAGATACAGAACGGTTAGTAAGGTGGATGAGTCTGGCAGCAGCAGCAGCATTCATGATAGACTGAAGAGGGGATAGCCTGCGATTAGGTAGGCCAATGAGGAGGGAGTTACAGTAGTCAAGGCGGGATATAACAAGGGAGTGAATGAGTTGCTTAGTAGTTTCCGAGGTTAGGAACGGGCATATCTTGGAGATGTTGCGGAGGTGAAGTCTACAAGATTTGGACAGTGACTGGATTTGGGGCTGAAAGGACAGATGGGAGTCTAGGATTACACCTAGTACCCTGGCATGAGGGGATGGACTGATGATTGTGTTATTGATCTTGATGGAGAAGTCAGGGGAGGGGGCACAGGCTGGAGGGAATACTAAGAGCTCAGTTTTGGAAAGATTGAGTTTGAGGAAGTGGAGAGACATCCATGCCGATATATCACTTAGTAGGTTAGTAATGCGAGAGGAGACTGAAGGGGTGAGGTGAGGGGTAGAAAGATAGATTTGTGTGTCATCAGCATAGAGATGGTACCTAAAGCCATGGGAGTTTATCAAGTGACCAAGGGAGGAGTGTAGATGGAGAAGAGAAGGGGTCCAAGGACAGAACCTTGAGGGACCCCTACAGAGAGAGGGAGTGAAGAGGAGGAGGCAACGTTATAGGTAACACTGAAGGAGCGCTGCGATAGATAGGAGAACCAGGAGAGAGCAGAGTCTCTGAGACCAAGAGAGTGGAGTTTTTTGAGGAGGAGGGGGTGGTCAACCGTATCAAAAGCCGCCGAGAGGTCAAGTAGTAAGAGTATGGAGTAGTGGCCATTGGTTGGGATGAGTACGGAGTAGTGGCCATTGGTTGGGATGAGTACGGAGTAGTGGCCATTGGTTGGGATGAGTACGGAGTAGTGGCCATGGGTTGGGATGAGTACGGAGTAGTGGCCATTGGTTGGGATGAGTACGGAGTAGTGGCCATTGGTTGGGATGATGAGTACGGAGTAGTGGCCATTGGTTGGGATGAGTACGGAGTAGTGGTCATTGGTTTTAGCTGTTAGTAGATCATTAGTGAGTTTTAGTAGGGCAGTATCAGTGGAGTGTAGTGTAGTGAGCGAAAGCCAGACTGTAAAGGGTCATGAAGGTTGTTATCAGTGAGGTGGGAGCTCAGGCCATTGTAGGCTAGGCGTTCTAAGAGTTTAGAGGTAAACGGGAGAAGGGAGATGGGTCTTAAGTTGTTCAGGTTGGTGGGGTCCAGGGAGGGCTTTTTAAGTAAGGGGGTGATGTGTGCATGCTGGGGAGGGGAAGGCACCATTAGAGAGGGAAAGATTGAAGATGTGAGTGAGGGAGCATAGGATAGAAGAAGAGGGGGACCGTAGTAGTTGTGAGGGGACAGGATCCAGGGGGCAGGTAGTGAGACGGGCTTCTGAGAAAACCTTGGTGACCTCTTCCCCATACACACTCACACACATATATATACTGTATATAATTATTGTTATTATTATATTTTTTAATTTTTTATTAAAAGGGGTTATGGTTATTTAAGTAATCTATGATTACTGGGACCCAGGTAGTATCAACTGGAACAATAGTATAACTCGTTTAAAAGCTGAACTCCGGGCACGTACCGTGCGTGCACCAAATACTTTTGCAAACCCAGATATTACATTGTAAAAGTAGCCGTGACATCATCGCTATACTGGGTATAGCCTGCACGGAGCTGTGGGAGGGACCCAGAAGACTCCACCCATAGCAGAAAACTGCCGGAGAAAGGGGCAGAAAACGAGACCAGTCACCTTGCACAAAAAGAGAAAGCAGCAGGGAGCGGTCTTTATTACAGGGAGGGGGCCTCAGTGGTGCAGTTCTGCTCCAGCTACTTTGGGACACAGTGCCGACAACATCTCCTTCGTGGCTAGAGGCAATTCCACCCACAACAGGTACACGTGTAGCACAGGCTGCTCTCTGACTGTACCTTCTTTACTCATGGCCAACACATGTATAACTTGCACTAGAATGACTCTAACCATGCTGACTCTTCATGGTTACATGACGCAAACCTTAGACCATAGGCACCAGTTACCTGAAAAATGTTCTAGTTAGGTGCTGCCCCAGATGCGAGGGTAACTTCACATCAGGTGGGAACAAAGTTTTCAAAGCTTTATTTGGAAAAGTGCAGAATGAGCAAGTCCAACACAGGATTATTTCTACGTCCCTACCCCTAACTCAGGCTATGTGCTGCCCCGGCATACCTGCAAAAGTTGGAGTCCATGCGCTAAAAGATCCATCAGTGGCATTCCCCAGCAGCTAGTGTCTTCAGGGGCGAACCCCAGGTACAGAGGACCTTCTACATTACAGCAGCAGCAGGCGCCTTCCCAATCTGCTCTCTTTCTCTCTTCTTTCCCCCCTCTCTGGGACTCTCAGGCCCGGGGGTCTCTCTTCCACTGTCCCTCTTTTATATCACAGGATCAGTGGGTTGGACCTAGAGATAAACGGACAAAACCAAAGAACCCGGGAAGGGCATTAACCCTTACCTTCCCGTCCAGGGCAGCACCAAACTAGGACATTTTTCAACCTGCCTACAGGCTCATCACTAGTAGTCATGATCAGGAGCCAGCGGGATGGACTCCCAGTCACGTGGCCACTGTGACTGTCACAGTGATCACGTGATTAGAACACCATCCCAACCCTGGCGTAAAGACCCATTTAAAGGGATGTCGGGGCTTTAATGAGTAAGGTTTTTCTTACTAATAGGTCCCTAGTGGACACCATAAGGTGTATACAGGTATGAAAGCTGAACTTGTCCGTATATTATCTCTATCACTTCCAATGAATGATTCATTTCATTCAAATAAAATGATGTACATCTACAGAGCGAAACAATACATTACAAGCTGCAGAGAAATCTTCGTATGTTTTCAGTAACAAGGTGTTTCTCTCCACGGATCTGACCCAGAAAACACGGGCAGCCGTCATGTCAGCGCCGGGAACTTCAAGGGAAGAATTCCTGTTCGCTCGCCTCTTTTTTTTTTTTTGTTCTAAGAATCGCTTGTTAGAGATCTGAGCCAAATTATGATTGACAAGATGCCCGGGCTCCTGTCCAATAACGGGCCTGAATTATTAAACGGCAAGCAAATGTACTCGTACTTTAACAGCACAGTCAGGAGCTTCGCGGCGTCAAACTGGCTACCGTAACGGGGAACCTGGGAGAGCGAAGGCAGACGATGCGCTAAGTGAACCATAATGAACACAGCTGCGCTCCCTGGTGCACACGGTTACTTAAAACTCTTCTCACTTCTACCGCCCGCGTCTCATGTTATCTGAAAGCGCTTGAGTGCGACGAGTGTTAAAGGCCGACTTCACCCAAAAGCGGTTTTCTCTTTTCCGCGGTTGTCGGAGAGTTGGATTACATTTCAGTTTGTTTTTAAAGTGTATATTCAGGCAAAACTTTTTTTTAAATAATAGAGCGGGAAAGGATTAGAATCCCTGTTGGGTTGAGGAAATTATGAATTATTATATGAGTTTTTTGCTTTGGTGTTCCTTTTTGTTTGGCAAGAGGACTACATATCCTGGAGGCACTGGTTCATCCAGCGACCAGGGCAAGGATGTGGTATTATTGCGACCTCCCCCACTTCTAATGCATGGTCTAGGATGGGGGAACTGCTCTGTATTCATACTCTGCCCCCTTGCTTTGCTGCGCCCAGGGCAGCTGACCCTCTCGCCCACCCCTTTGTCACGGCCGTGCCTGGAGGAAGATTTTATGGCTGCAATACAATCACACTTCATCATAATTTAACTCTCTTCTGTTGCATGATCCAGTGTCAGGTCCCCTCTATGAAATGCGGCCACTGACATATCCAAGGTTCACCTGGAGCATTAGCAATGCAGCCAATCAGGAGACAACTCTCCTGATTGGCACTGGCTTGAATGGCGAAGCAATACACGGCTCTGAGTTTGAGCAATTGAGCCCACAGCAGTAACCCTGTGCTCCTGCGTCCTTCAAAGATCCAGGCTCTCCTGTGTTTTTCAGTGCACTCCTGTACCCCCAGTGAACCCTGCATTCCTGTACCTCCAGTGACCCCTGCACTCTTGTACCTCCAGTGACCCCTGCACTCCTGTACCTCCAGTGACCCCTGCACTCCTGTATCTCCGGTGACCCCTGCATTCCTGTACCTCCAGTGACTCCTGCACTCTTGTACCTCCAGTGACCCCTGCACTCCTGTACCTCCAGTGACCCCTGCACTCCTGTACCTCCAGTGACCCCTGCACTCCTGTACTCCGGTGACCCCTGCATTCCTGTACCCCAGTGACTCTGCACTCTTGTACCTCCAGTGACCCTGCACTCCTGTACCTCCAGTGACCCCTGCACTCCTGTACATCCAGTGACCCCTGCTCTTCTGTACCTCCAGTGACCCTGCACTCCTGTACATCCAGTGACCCCTGCTCTTCTGTACCTCCAGTGACCCTGCACTCCTGTACATCCAGTGACCCCTGCTCTTCTGTACCTCCAGTGACCCTGCACTCCTGTACATCCAGTGACCCCTGCTCTTCTGTACCTCCAGTGACCCCTCCTGTACCTCCAGAAACCCCTGTACTCCTGTGCCTCCAGTGACCCTACACTCCTGCTTCCTCCAGTAATTAATGTTTTTTCTTACACAAGAAAGGTGAAGGCTATAAGAAGATTAGCAAAGCTTTACTTATCAGTCAGAATACTGTAGCAAAAGTGATACAGAAATTTAACAAAGATGGAACTGCAACCATCTCACAGAGGTGTCCAGGCCGTCCATGGAAGTTAACATCTCGACTGGAGTATCTTCTGATAAGAAGGGTTGAAGAAAATCGCCATGCAAGTTCACTGCAGTTAGCTAAAGAAGTAGAAAGCCAAACTGGGGTGACACAATATGGCGCACACTGCAGAGGAATGGCATGCATGGGTGTCTTCTACGAAGGAAGCCTCTCCTAAAGGCCATGTACAAAAAAGCTGGCCTAGAATTTGCCAGGGCCCATATTGAAAAAGAAGACTACTGGGGCTCTGTACTCTGGAGTGATGAGACCAGGATAAATGTTTTTGGAACTGATGGCTTCAAAACTGTATGGCATCGCAAAGGTAAGGAATACAAAGAAAAAAAAAAATACATGGTGCCTACAGAGAAACATGTGGTGGCAGTGTCCTTCTGCGGGGCTGCGTAAGTGCTGCTGGTGTCAGGGAGCTGCATTTCATTGATGGCATCATGAATTCACAGATGTACTGCTCTATATTGAAGGAGAAGACACTACCATCACTCCATGCCCTTGGTCATCATGCACATTTCCAACATGACAATGATCCAAAACACACATCTAAGGCCACTGTTGCATTTCTGGAGAAGAACTGGGTGAAAGTGACTCAGTGGCCAAGTATGTCTCCTGATCTGAGCCCAATCAATCACCTATGGGGAATTCTGAAGAGACAAGTTGAGCATCACTCTCCATCCAGAATCCAGGCTCTAAAATAAGTCGTTCTTGAATAATGGAAAAAGATTGATGTTGCAATATCTCCCAAGACATTCAGCGCTTACATAATTATATAAAGTGCAAATTATATAAAGTGCAAATAACCATTATACAAGTGCATGTTCTAATGTATAGACTTGTAACTCCGTAAATATTGCTAATGTCCTTCAAATCAATACATCTTTCCATATAGTGCCACAGTTCCTTCAAAAAGTGCAATGGTATACAACTCCTCCCTCAAAGGGTTACTTCACTATGCTCCATACTTAGAACTTCGCCAAGGGTATCATATACTTAGGAGGGTTCCAGTAATTGCCCTCCCCCACACCCATCACCCTCCTTGTACACCATACATTTATCCCTGCTGCCCAAGCCCCCCTGTGTGCTCCCACCAACCACAGCGCTGCTGGCTTCCCTCCTCTCCTTTCCACCGGCAGCTGTAAGCACACAATAGGATCCATCAGGATGGAGAGTGGGGGAAGGGTCCGGTAAATATGTCACATATTTAATTGGTAAATATGTCACAGCCTCTTCTTTTCCTGAATAAACACAATGAGTGATCAGTACCGATCACTCACTGTGTTCATAACTGAAGCATAGTAAACTGCTTTTTTGGGGGGGAAGGGGGGGCTGTATGGGGCCCCGTGGTTTCTAACAGCAGCCTTGCCAGGTGCTCAGCATAGCATGAAGTACATTTTATCCAAAAAGTAAACCAACGTTCGTGGGGCTTGAAAAGCGATGAAGTGATGACGTTTTATTGGTGATAAGACAATATATATAATTATTATTATTACAGTTTTTTACTCTTTTTTCAGGTGCCCAGGTGACAGTTGCAGCTAAACCCTGTTCAGTTATCTGTATGTAGCAAATGCCATATCCTGAACACTTAAAAAGGAGATTGCTAGCCCGCTCTAGCTGAGA